TGCATTTTTACATCTGGTAATCTGAGCAACTTCATTGAAGATAACAATATGTAATATACCAACCACTGTTAATTTCCTATCCTTTAATTTTGAAATTCTGTATCATTTTTGTTGTTTTGTGGTTTTTGTCATCTTTGTTGCTTTTTTTTTTCTTTAAAATAAAACACAAAGACCAAAAACAAAGACAGGATTCCCTGGGCCACAAAAAACAGGGACGGCTTCTTAGAAAAATCAAGAAAAAATAATCACACTAACCCACTGAAGTGAATCTCATGTTCTTAAGCCAAAGCAAAGTGTCCTTGTCCAAAGAGAGGAAAACAGAAACCAAAAAAAATTTACGTTACGCTCAAAGGTTACCATCTAGCTGAGCACGGTGCCTCATGCCTGTAATCCCAGCACTTAGGAGGCTGAGGCAGGAGGATCATTACAAGTTCAAGGGCAGCCTGAGCTGCAAAGTGAGCTGAAGGCTAGCCTGAACTGCACAGTGAGACCCTGTCTCAAAAAGACCAGAAAAAAGTTACCATCAAAATTATAAACACAAAACTTTGGATTTGAGGATAATTCTGAGAGCACAACACTCAGCCCTAGGGTAAACGAAAATTTACAGGAAATATAAATGAGTGAGTGGCCACAAAAGCAAACACTAACCATGCTTTGAAGGAAAAACATCCCGCATTACTTATCAGCTACATAACCGAGGTCAAAGACATCTGAAAAGTGTGATAATGTAATACCAGAATGTTTTTGTTAGAGCATGGTTTTGTCTTCACTTAAAAATTTATGAAAAAATTCATGAAAATGTTTTATCCTACATTCGTTTTAACATATAAGTTTTTATTGTTCTTATCTCTGTATCTTTTAAACCAAGTTGATACTCCAGGAAAGGTTTTTCTCCAGAAGTTGGATGCAATCCCCACACTGCTGCATCTGGCTTTCTTTGGTGGTGGTGGTGGTGATGGTGTGTGTGTGTGTGTGTGCGCGTGCGTGCGCGCGCCCCACCTTAACGCCCCACCTTAAGAAATACGGCAGTCTCTGTCACAGAGAGCTCTAACCATGTTGCTCAGGCGAGGCTGAACTCACGATCCTCCTGACTCAGCCTGCTGAATGGCTGAAATTACAGGTGTACACTACATGCACTAAAATAAAACAATATTATAGAGGTATTCCTTTAAACTTACATAGACTTTGTATATAATCTGCAGTGCTACATCATGCTTAAGAATTACTGCAGTGATTGAAGAGGATGTCTTGTAAGAACTCTGTATCCAGAAGATGCATGTGGGAGTATGGGAAGGATACGAGATATAAGATAGTACATAAATGTACAAAAAATTACAAAGTAGTACATAAATGTACAAAAAATATTACATAAATGCCCAAAAAAGTAAGTACTATCTAAAGAAAACAATGACAAACATGCTGGAAACAGACCTAAATGTCTTAGGAACACTGAAATGGTGTCAGAGTGAAGGAAGGAAAGGATTTGGTTAAGGTGACTGTCCTCAGTTCGAGTTTCATTCCACAGGGGGCACTGGCAATGACTAGAGACCATCTGCACAATCACTGCTGGGAGAGGTGCACTGCTCCTGGCTTCCACAAAGGACAGCAGATGATGCTAAATGGCCTAAAAAGGCTCAAGAGAGCTTCCCACCACCAAGATAAAATTCAGCGGCATTGTCTAACACATTATTCTAGCATTTAGGGGAAAATATGATCAACACGACTTTCCACAGACTTGATCTGAACAACTCAAGAGACAGAGAGGCTGTTGTTCTCATCCCCCAGTAAGGACGCTAATACATAAGGCAGACAGGTATAGCGAGCCGTCTAAGGGAGTGTTGGCAGCAACCTGCCTTCCCGTTCTAGTATTTGTCTTTTTCTGGCTTCATCAATTCTAGACAACTCTGAGTTGGGTTACACAGATAAAACACCTGATCCGAGCAGTTTATAATCACAAAGCAAACAGACTTGTCTTGATTATGACCTTGAACTGGACTTATCTAGGTGGATAGTTAGCAATAAGAGAAAAAGATCAAGGACTGAGTAGCCAGTGTAAAAGATAAAAGAATCCAAAGATGGGAAATATCAGGGCTGGGGTTAAAGCTCAGTGACAGAGCGTGTGTTTAGCATGTACAAGGCCCTGGGTTCAAACAAACAAAAATCCCACGAAAATACGAAGGACAGTATGAATAAGCTGGATATTTCTGGGACTTCTGCTATGTTCTCCTTCCTCCCTCACCCTTCTCTCCTCATTCAGGGTGGAGGGAGGCTCGTAAGGAAAATGAGGCCAATTTATAACCCCGAGGACAACCTTGTATCAGCTTCTGGTTACATGAACGCATTAATCCTTTTCTTTTTGAGGGGTGTAAAATAGTTCAACTGAGTTTCCCCAGCAATTTAGAGTTCTACTACAGTTACTTATGCTAGTAAAACTAGAAGTATGCACTTCTCTTTACTCAAAACTACAAGAATACATCTTAATGTGAAAATCACGGTCATTTGCCACGATAAAATGAGTAGAATATGAAGCATGCTGCGGCTTTGCTTTGAAAAAATCTAGCAATTCAAAGCAGTTACTTTATTCTTGAAGATTTAGTATGCCTTTTAAAACATACTGATATGAAGTTTTAAATAGTAACCAGAAAGAATGTTGCATTGATAAAAGATTAATTGGAATAATTGAAACCATCTTCCTCTGTCATTCTGTGTCTGTCTCCACTGAGCCGAATCTGTGTTCTTCCTGAGTCAGTCTATAAAATGTGAAGCAACTGTGCAAAACTTGTGCTAGTGTTGATTTAATTCCACAAAGTAGGGGTTCCTTTCACACTACCTTAATTTTCAGAATGCCAGAGAGGTAAGTCCCCCGAACTCTACAATTCCTCACCTGTTTCAAGATTTTTTTAAATACAAGTGTTAGATCAAACCATGTTTTAAAACCCTATTTTTAAAAATTTGAATTTTTAAATTATGACAATGGTAGGGAAAACAAGGCCAGCCAACCAAGGTTCTAAACTAACATTTAAAGAATGAACTGTCATTAGGATTCTATTATATTTTAATAGGCTGATCAAATGCTATCCTTAAGAATATGAGTGTCATAAACAATGTCATTTATATTGTGAAAAGCATATTTGTCTGCACATCTTACACAGAGATATAAAAGCCATGTTTTACCAATGGTTTTATTAATTTAACAAATAATTTGTCCCATAACAACTGCAGTGAAAACTTTGGTAACATCAGCCAATTTACTGACATGCTCTGCAGTCTTTTAATTAATATGGTGCATAGACATCTGTAACTACACAGCCACACCAATTTATAAGCAATTAATAAATTTTGAAATGTTAGGGGAAAAGTTACACTTTATTTTCTCCTTTTCCATATATATATATATTTTTTATATGCATGTGTCCCATTAATTCTCTTCACTAGACTCTATTAAATTCCAGATTTAAATATGACTACGTATAAGACAAAATAGTGATGGATGTCCACAAAATAGCTGAGCTTTTTGCAGTGGATAAGCCACTTAAATCTGTTCTCCAAAAGGTAATTATTCAACCTAAGGCAAGCATGGAGAAGCTGGACTTGAAGCTTAGGTTCTTCAGTTTGACCTGTCAGGTCCATGGGACATCCAAGGCGAACGTCTGTGCTAAAGTTAACTGTGTCGCAAGTGGAATGTCTATTAGCTGAAAAAGACCCCGACTCCCTGAACAGAATGTCCAACTTGCAGGAGAGAGGGAGTCTGACAGACCAAACGGTGTCACCCCTCAGTAACAATTCTAAGGAACTTTTAGGGTCTACTGACTGTCACTGTATGAAGAACTCAGGTTAACAGATCTATACTCTTAATTAAAAGGACAACCCACTGCTTAATCGATTTTCTGTAGTGAATCATTAGACTAACTCCCTATAATCTAGAATTCCCAGTATGTTCCGCGGTCAGACTTTCACAATCAGGGTCATTATTTCATATGCATTCAATAAATATTCTGTGACTGAGTTTAAGGTGAAACCCATGTTGAATTACCTCACAACTTTTCCTTAAATTTATTTCCGTAAGAAATCTAGGCCAACTTTTGCCCCTACTATTTTATTTTATGGAGAAGTATGTCATTGCTGCTATGTAATTTTTTTTGTACATTATGGTCCTATTTCTGTTAATCATTCTTAGTCTTTATCAATCTAAGCTTCTAGAAAACTTCTTTTAGATCTTTGGAAAAAGATGCAAAATTAAATTTAAAAATTTTTCTATTTTATTTAAATACATTACAATTCTTCTTGGGCATGGTGGCAGATGTCTGTAATTCCAGCACTCACAAGACTGAGGCAAGATTAATTGCCACAAGTTTGAGACCAGCCTAGGATACTGTGAGTTCAAGGCCAGCCTGGACTACAACAGTGAGACCCTGCCTCAATAAATAAATAAATAAACACACAGACAGACAGACAGACAGACAGATAAGATATATGGTTTTTTTTGTTTGTTTGTTTTTCTCCGGTACCAGGAACCGAACTCACGACCTTGCGCTTGCCAGGCAGCGCTTTGCCGCTGAGCTAAATCCTCAGCCCCTAAGATATATATTCTAGACAAATTAGGTTACTAAACAGGAGATCTCTGTTCACCTAATAGCAATGTTTTGGGCAGTTTTCTGTTTCACATTATTTTGAGAAATCTCACTATATAATTCACGCTAGCCTTGAACTAGCCCAGGTTAGCTTTGACTTTACAGCAATCTTCCTGCTTCAGCCTCCCAGGTGCTGAGATTACAGGTGTGTGCTACCACACCCAACAATACTAATGCTGTAAAGAAGTTCAAGTGAACTTTTATGTAGTGAGGTAATTTTCACTTATCCTAAAAGGGGTAAATGAACCTATTATTTGTGCGTGAATCTAAAGTTTGTCCCTTATGGAAATTATCTGTAAATTAAAAACAAAAAATTAGGCAATTATGAAAAATGATGTTAACAGGTACAGTGAGCAATAAACCAAAACATTTTCATTTAATGGACATCTGCTTAGTTTTTTATTTAGTTAAGTATAAAGGCCCAGTTAATTCAACTCATTAGATTGGTCAAGGCAAGACACTTGAACTACACAATAAGATTTAAAAAGCAGTTGGTTTTGTAGTAGTTCTCTGGTATCACACACACATACACACATACACACAAATTGGTAGAGTACTCTGGATATTGGACCCCCCCAAATATCTTACATACTGCACTGTTCATAACCAGCAATATTCTCAAAACTATATAAATTAAACATGGCCAAATTAGAGATGTCTGATCAACTTTATAAAGTATTTGGGAACTTCAGCTGTATTTCCCAAAAGACTGACTTTAAACTATTAAAAAAAAAATTAATTTAAAAAAGCACAAGTCTTAAAAGACATCTTGAGGGAAAAAAAAAACAACCTATAACTCAATTTCTACTTTTTCAAATATGACTGAGGAAAAGTTATAAGTAGTAATAATGCCTACATTTAAAAAAAATTAACCAGTTAAATGGGGGTAGGGTGGGGATGTACAGTATTATTGCACTCCACGAATGTGCAGAATTCCAAAATGTGCCAGCACTGAAAAACTATCTTGCATTGAGGTTTTCCAAGAGGTACAACGAGCCTGTCAAGAAAGCATCTGGTCTGTACTAACAGCTTGCTGTCTTCAGTACAGGCCTTCATAATGTCAGTCACGCTGCTCTTGCAAAAACTCCTTAATGTCTGAAAGATATACAGAAAAAAGAATATTTTAATAATCATGCTCATAAAAATTTAACCAAGAACTCTGCATCTTGCCATATTCACACATTTACTTACACATTTTCTATCTTGAACTGCTAAAAAATTAGCATGCTCTTAGAGCTAATTACCTGAAGGTAAGGGGAAAAAAAAAACATCAACTCTAGTATAATGTATCAGTTTTGGCTATGAGGCATTCAGTTTTTTTTAAATGATGTTGAGGCTCAATTACTAACCCTTTCAGATGAAATCATTAGCACAGCTTTATTTTCCCAGGCCCAAACTCTCCTGATATAAATTTTAATGATGGACATATTCATCTTTTAATCTTAACTTGGAAACTCAAGTGATAACATACATAACAGATATCTACTAACATTTCTAAAAGAATTATTAGAAACTGATACATAGTGTTTTTTTTGGACAGGCTCTCACTACATATTACAGGGTTGCCTTGAACTTACAATGTAGCCCTGGCTCGAATTTGCAGTGATTCTCCTGCCTCAGCCTCCCAAGTGCTGGGATTACAGGCATGCACTACCACTACTGGCTTAGCTAGGTCATTTTAAAACTACTTACAACAGAGCTTTCAGCGCTGATAGGCAGGGCTATGATCGATGATGTGGGATTGAATCCATATGCACATTGAGCTTCATTTCATTGTCAAGAATTTGAACAAGTTGTTGCATGGATGGAAGATGACCAGATTCCAGCTTAGACCACACAGGCACATCTGTAAAAACACATGGCACACCCCCAAATTACAAGAGGCTTTGTAGTAGACATTCATTCCATAAATTAGAAGTGTTTGTGGACACAACAGGGGATATAGATGTGTGCAAGAATACAGCTTCTTGATCTTTCAGGGCTTACACTCTATTATAGAAAATACAAAGAATTACACAACTACCACAAAATTACAATTGTGTGGTAAAGTTAAAGCTAGAAAATTTTACACTGCTTTAACAACACAAACATACACCTCTATCTCTGACTAGTCAGAAAAGTACTATTTAAACTAATTGACACCTGTTATGGTTTGTGTCTAGATGTTCCCCCAAAGCTTCATGCAGACATGGGTGTGGACATCCAGAGTTTCTGACTGACTCAGGGTCCAATGCTGGGATTATGGGTTTGAGTGCTACACTCACCCTGAGGCGGGCAGACTGCATACAATGTAAGGGAGGGAAAGGTTTGCTCTCTGCTGCTCCTCCCTTTTCACTCTTGCTGCTTTTGCTGTCTTGCATCACCATGAACTGCCCTCTGCCATGTGCCACTCTGCCTTGGAGCCAGCCAAGTATGGCCTGAAACCTCCACGAACTGAGAGCTAAATAAACCTTTCCTTCCTTCATTTTGGGCATTAGGTATTTTTGCCTCAGTAACAAGAGAAAAGTAACCAAGACAACACCTAACAGGTAAAGAAAAATTATCAGGTCGTAAGTTTACGAAACTAGAAAACTTTTCAGAGTCAGGCATGGTGGCACACACCTATACTCCCAGCACTCCTGAGACTGAGGCAGTAGGACTGTCAAGAGTTCAAGGCCAGCCTGGGCTATGTAATGAGTTGAAGGCCAACCTGACCTACACAGTGAAACCCTGTTTCAAAAAAAACCCAATAGAACCCAAAAAACAGTAACAAAAAACAAAATGAACAACAAAAACACCAAACTTGAAAAAGGGAACTGTAAAGGTTATAAAGGAGCCTGGCACACTGAAAATGATAGAAAGTTTACCAGAGGTGAAATACAGCAGAGGGATGAGCAACACAAGGAAGGCTAGAGAGGTGGGAAGAACAAGATTAGGGTCAACGAATGTTAACACACCACGAAATAACTCCTCTGGCTAGGGAAAGTACAGTTTCTTGTCATAGTCACTCAACTCATAATAGCTTGAAAGCGTCCACAGGCAATATGAGAAGGAACTGGAACGGCTAGTTTCCAGTAAAACATACATAAAACAGGCAGTGAGACTAGGAAACACAGGCCCATAGTTACCCCTAGACTAGAACCTTCGGGGCCTTTTGGCAGATGTTAATATTCTGGTTTTTATCTCGAAAACAAAGTAAAATCATGTAACAAATTTGAGACAAATAATAAAAAAATTTTTTGAAAACAAGTCTTTCTCCTGTCCAGAGCAGATACTGGCAATTTTTTCTGTAAGAAGGTAGAGTGTAATTTTAGACTGTCTGGATCAGGAGACAAAGTCCAGGAGATTAGAGGTTTACCTATATAACTAGAGAGAAAATAAATTTTCACAAAACTTTTATTGACGAAATTCAAAACAGTAAAAACAGAAATTTCAACATGTCACAAACTATCCCGATTTTTTTTAATCATTTAAAAATGTAAAAACCATTATTAGCTCATGGTCATGTCTGTCAACCTCTTGTTTAGAGAAATAATAGGGTAATAAAGTAATTGTAGCAGAGACTAGGGTGACAGCAGTGAAGATGTAGACTCCTGAGCAAGCTAAGAGAATTGAAAACACATGGTAAGAGAAAAGATGCTATCCCAGGTTTCTGGGCAACTGGGTAGACAAAAAATCCCAGAAGAAAAGCAAATTAGAGTGTAAAGGCACGGTAGGAAGCAGAAGTAATCAAGAGTTTATCTGGAGGCTGAGGTGGTGGCATGTGTCTATAATCCCAGCATTCAGGAAGCCAACACAACAGGATTAGGAATTTGAGCCCAATCTGGGTAACTTAGTGAGACCCTGTCTCAAAACAAAACAAAACAAAACAAAACAAAACAAAACAAAACAAGGCTGAAAATGTGCAAAGTCCCTGGGTTAAACTCTCAGTACCAAAAAAAAAAAAGTTCATTTTGGAGTGGATTATGTTTAAGATTCCCAGGTATGGCACTTAGAAAAAGTTTAAAGTTCTCCAGAGCTATAAATTCAGGAATCACCACATAGATTTTACTTTAAATCGATCACAGTAGATGACTAGATAAAAGGCGAGGGCTGCCAGGCATGGTGGTACAGCCGAGGCAAGAAAACTGATTCAAATTCGAGGCCGATTTGAGCTCCACGGTGAATTCAAGGCCAGCCTGAACTATGTATGTAGTGAGGTCCTGTTTCGAGAAACCAAGGGAGGATATAAAAACAAGAGACAAGGGCCAGCTCTGCAAGAAATTCTAAAAATAAAGACAAGAAGTGGAAAATTTCCAAATTTTTCAGCCTCTTAAATTTCCAATTTCTACAAAATAAACTTTAAATGAACATTAAAGAAGTTTTCCCTATTGAAAAACAGAAAAGGGGTTGAGATATACTCAGTGGGAAAGTACGTGGCAAGCACGTATGCGGCCCTAGGTCAAATCCCCAGCACTCTCAAAGAATAAAGAAGAGCCTAATATTCACGGTGAATAATTTAAAACTTATCACAAAACACAAACCATTCACAACCTACCATTTAAAGTTATCTCAAATGCACCTGTTGACATACACTGGTTCTCAATCATGTTGCTCAAGAAGAAAACCATCATACATGCGTAGACCTAAAAGAAAATACGATAACCTCAGTCACAGTAATCTGCTTAATACATAGTCTCTTTATTTGGTAAATGCTCTTTTAAAATCCACACAAACTATTACTATTATTCCATAAGTTCAAGTAACATTGACAGAGAAAGAAAAATTGAGTATAAATTCATAGCTCTATGCATTCTGAAGAATTTACACGACATTCATATTGTACATAGAATTTCTAAGAGAATTCGTAATAACCCAAGTTAAAGAATGCCAGTAAGGATTTACTTAATATTTTTATAGCGCAGTATAATATAAAAATTCACAAGAGACTAATGATGCAATAATCAGTAACTATGAATTCAAACAAGCTGTTTTGTGTTTTAAACAAATCATTTGAAGTCAAACTAAGAAACAGATTAGAGAGCATAGGCATATTAAAAGCACATGCATTCACCTTTTGAAATCAAATCTATAACCTCCCTAGAGACTAGAGGTTATTTGTTGAACAAAAAAAATTTAACTTAGCAAAATCATTACAATATAGTGAGAATACCAATTCACAGAAAGTTGTTTCAGAAAAATACATGTCCACAGCAGACAACGAGGAACTTTCTGTCTTGCCCCACTTGAACTAGGTAGGGTTTGATTTCATGACATTTGCTCTCATGGGAACAATACACGAGGATCTGCCATAAAAGTATAGCTTTTATGTATATTCTTTTTCCACAGTGTCTCAAAAAACATACATATATCTGTATCTGTATATATAGAGAGAAGTAAAATGCACTAGATATAATCGAGAATCATTAAGCACAAAACCTTACCAATAAGCAATTATCTTCCTATTTTGAGTTCTCTGTTAATAACAGGGTAGAGACATACTTCAATTAGAGGTAACACCTGAAGATGTTTATGTTAAGCCATCTTGTATGTTACTAAAAATAAATGGCTCTCTAAGAAAAAGTGTAGCTATGTAGGAGTCTGGTAATGGTATTCAGCCTAAAACGAAAGGACAAGATCGGAAAGAGAGGTCTGAACAAGACGATACAACCTAGCAAGGGCATCTACGTAATTCCATCCAAGAGAGAAATAAAAATTAGACCCATTTCTGACAATGATAGATTTTTATTTTTTTTTTTTTATTTATTTTTGTCTTTTTGAGACAGGGTCTCACTATACAGTTCAGGCTGGCCTTGAGCTCACTTTGTAGCCCAGGCTGATCTCAAACTCGCAAGGATCCTCCTGCCTCAGCCTCCCGAGTGCTGGGATTACAGGTGTGCACCACCATACCTGGCAATAGATTTTAAAAAGTGATTTCATGCAAAAAAGATAAAAACAAGCATTATCTAAAAAGGAGGTATGTTGCAAGATTCTATAAAAGAACAAAGAATAGCACAAGAACTTTAAGTGTATTTATACTGATTCTTTCTGACAATCTGGCAAACAGATGCCCATGAACAGAAAGGTCAAAGAACAAATAAAGAGTTTTGATGAAATGGGTTAAATGGAAATTCAATTTTTAATGTGATTCAACCCATTAAGACCACATCAGTTGGTATACAAGGTGTATATTACATATAAAGTATTTTTCTGGATACAATCTAAATTACACAAATCTGGTAATAAATTATTTTGTGACCAGGTTCCATTAAAGTAACACCATGTCTAAGATCAAAGGGTAAGATTATTACCCTCAGGACAGATCTGATCCAACAAGAAAATGGTCTAGGGGTAGAAGGACAGAGGGTGAGGAAGGGAGGGGAAATGAGAGGATTGAAGTGCTGTGCACAGGAGCTGTACCCCCAACATCACAGGCCCTAACATGAGTGAAGACATATATCAACCAGTGTGAAAAAGGTGACAGGGAACCAGGCGGAGGGGGAGGGGAAGGGGGAGAGGGTTGGACAGGGAAGAAAACAAGCTGTGCTACATGCACGTAACCACTCCCTAAGAGGACTGTAAACCACGTGACTTGCAAACATGTACTAATAAAATTTCAAAAAAAGATTATCCTTCAGTGTATTAATCATTCTTAATATGTAAATATGACTACTGAACCCAAAGGAGTATCCTGCCCAGAGATAAAGTGGTATAAACTGAAATAACACACGTTAACAGAAAAATCAGTAACAAATACAAAGCAGTTAAAATCTTTCCATTGACAACCTAAAAACTTAACAGTTCCCAAAGCTATTAAATTACATACCTTATTTTCTTGGCCCCACTGCCAGATGCTAGGAGCTTGCATGCCAAAGAAAGCAAAAGGATCCTTGCCAACAATTATTAAGACTATTAATACTAGTTTGAAGATTGACAGGAAAGATGCTATGTGTCTATCAAAAGAAAAGAAACAAATTGATCAGAAACCATAATTTCTCATCTACTTTAAAATTTAATAATTTAACTATATGTATACAGACAACTTAAAAGTTACTAATTACAGAAAAAGTAATGAAAGTTCATTGTAGTTTAAAAATCAAATATTTAGTCATTTTACTCAATCAAAAATTATATAGAATTGTCCTTTAAAAATACAATTATTTTAAGACAGTACAGAATTTATTATCACCAATATGCTATGCAGTTTTGGGGACCTGGGCTATAGCTAAAAGGAAGAGGACAAACTTAGTACATGCAATGCTCTAGGTTCAATCACTAGGACCGAAGAAAAGAAGTTGGGGAAGCGGCGCTAGTCTATTTCCACAATAGACTACTAAAGAAATGTATCTTTTTTTTTTTGTACCGGGGATCAAACTCAGGACCTTGCACTTGCCAGGCTGGTGCTGATGCCACTGAACTATATCCTGGGCCCAAGAAAACATATCTTTAAAACAGTTGTTATAGTTTGGGGTTTTGTAAGTGTAACAATATAATACAGGACACGTAGATTATAATAGTCACCCAAAGAATCATATAGAAAAAGAGTGCAGGATCTGTCCACATACTAAAGAATCCCATGTCCTGCATGAATCCAGCTGAAGACTTAGAACCCATAACAATGCCTCCCATGAGTCCAACTGGAGGCCAATGACAATGTCTCATGCAGGCCTGTTTCACAGATCTGCGATAGGAAGGGCCGGGATCTGCACTGGAGCCAGGAAGTGACACTCAGAAGAACCAGAGCTCCCCTGAAAAGTACCACAGCCATGCTCAGCAACAGTGAGATCCTGAGCTCCTCCAATGATCAGGACAGCTGAGTTCCCATCACGAAGTCAAGACAACAAGCTTCTCCAGGACAATGAGTAGTACACCATCTCCTCTCTGCAGCTGGGAAGTGATGCCTAAAGTGAGGACCAGAGCTCCCCCAAAGTGAACCACAGCCATTTTCAGCAACAGCGAGATCCCAAGCTCCTCCTCCAATGGGAACAGCCGAGCTCATCAGGAAAGCCAGCATGACAAGGTCCTCCAGCCAGAATATCCCAAGAGAACAAGCAGCTCCATTAACAACTTCTCTAACAGCACCTGACAGCTTCTAACAGCCTCCCAACCAATAGTCTCCAAACTTTTTCCTCCCCAGTTCTGCCTCTTATGCTGCTGGCAACAATCCTCAGGCGGCCTGCCACACCCAGCACCACCCTCTCAGTTCAGTGTTAGAAGTTGACCACCAGTGGTCAATCCACCACAGTCGTCATCTCTCAAAACAACTTCATTCCTTCTTCCAGAAAAAGTCTTCTACATTTGGGTCAAATAAACTTGTTATTTATAAAGCAGTTTCTCTGTGTACGGTATAACCAAGGTAATTAACCATCCCACGAGAGATCATAAAGTCAATAAACCATTTTCCTGCTCAGTTACTGAAATTTACTTACCTATAAATCGGTTGAGGGAGGTAATTCTCTCCTTCAATTCGGATGTCTGGGTACCGCTGGCTAATCACCCTCATGTACTCCTCAAACACCCGCCTGTACCCTCAGGAAACACTGCAGAGAAATGAAAGTGTTTTCATTACGGGTTTTAGAACACACCTGTCTAGATTTACTCTGCAGTTAGACAAAACCTAAAGACTGTTACCAAGACTACAATTTTCTCTTAACCTTCATTATAAGTTAATGATTAAACCTGGGAGGTGGTTTTTCTTTTTACAAATTTCACACTTAAACTGCCCCCCCCCTCCCCTCGTAACATTCTACTGTATAGCTCTGGGTTACTGTGACATCAAGCATCGATCACACACATAAGCACATCTGCGCTCTCACACCAATGCGGTCTTTCTTTTTGTCTTGGGGGCCAGTGGCTCCGATAAATAGTAAAATAAAAAGTTCTTGTGCGAGTTGTGACTTTCACATTAGGGGCGCAAGAAACATATAAACAATACCAAAGCGTGACACCTAAAACCCTGGTCCTTATTTTCACTCTGCCCCTAACTGGGCCAATTTTTTGCTTAATCATAATAAGAGGAGCTTAGGCTAAATTTAGAGTCCTTCTCACTCAAAAGTTTCTACTCTGCAAAGTAAATAAGCAAAAACAAGACTGGGAAGAGAATTCTTGGTAATATGACATTTCTCTGGAAATTAAGTCAACAGCACCCCATCTCCTCTATTAAAGTGTTTTAAGAATTCATTTTCAAATACTGTGTATGTTTCTCAGCAAGAACTGAGAAATACAGTATCAGAGGACATTATCTACAGAAAAAGAAGAGGTGGCTGGGCGTGGGGGCACACACCTGTAATCCCAGCATTTGGGAGGCCAACCCAGGGTGATAGTTCTGAGTTCAGGTCAGCCTGAACTACATAGTGAGACCCTGTTTCAAAAACACAAAACAAGCCAGGTGTGGTGGTGCACGTCTGTAATCCCAGCACTCAGGAGGCTGGGGCAGGAGGATCGTGAGTTCGAGGCCAGCCTGGGCTACAAGGTAAGCTCAAGGCCAGCCTGAACTGCATAGTCAAAACATCTCAAAAAGACAAAAAAAGGAAAAACAAAGTATGAATTTTTTAGAGATAAATCTATATAGCTAAATATTTAAATGAACTTATAAATCTAACATCTACCTTATCTAATACTTTATTATTACCATCATTATTTTTTATTCTTTCCAAGCAGCAGGCTAGGCTGCTTATATTACTAACCTGATATAATTTTAAGTTTATAGAAAAGTTACAAGAGTAAAAATCAACATGTTAAGTAAAACCTTTCACAGCCAGGTGTGGTGTGCACACGTGTAATCCCAGCACTCAGGAGGCTGAGGCAGAAGGATGGTTGCAAGTTTGAAACCAGCCTGGGCTACAAAGTGAGCTCAAGGCCAGTCTGAGCTGCATTGCAAGACCCTGTCTCAAAAAAGACAAAAAAAAAAAAAAGTAAAACTTTCACCTATATTCATCAAGTATTTGTATTTTAACGTAATTGTTTTCTATAAAGAAAATCTAAGGTTGCTGTTGTTTAAATAAGCTAGATAACCAGAGCCCAGCTAATTTACAACCAAGAAAAGCCACTTGACCTCAATGCCCAAGTTTCCATTGGTGTTTACAATGCAGATGATTATCTAAACAATACTTCACTTTTTGAATGTAGTATTTTGAGAACTAGGGACTTGGTTAGTCAGCACTGGACTGCGCACTATCAATCTACACTCCAGCTAGGAGTCAGCTGATGGAGAGGGAATGGGAAGGCTGGGCTATATGACAGGCTCTACTGTTTTGTTTTGTTTTGTTTTTAACAAATACTAACTATTGACACATACCGTTCTAAGTCTCAACATTATGACATTATGCAAAACTGACAAAAATCTATGCGCTTTTGCGCTTGGTAAGAATCTAATGGAGGAGATACAGCTCGTTCTTTGCTAGTATCTGAAGAGGTTTTTCATTTTATTTGAGAAAGGAGTTTAAAAAAACACCCAAAAGGTCCCAAAACAAAAGAGCAGAAGTAATACCCAAACGATTAAAAATAAGAGCCTATATTCAGGACAAATCTGCAATAGGATGATAAAATAAATATGGAAGAACTGTAAGAAAAAGCTCAAAATCAAGAAGCAGAATTAGAGCCAGGTATTGTAGCACCCCCCTGTAATCCCAACTCTGGCAGGCTGAGGCAGGATCATCACAAGTTTGCGCCATCCAGGCAACTTAGTGACACAGCAAGCCTTTGCCTCAGAAACAAAAATGAACAAAAACAGCTGAGGATTTGTATAGTTTAGTGCAACGATCCTCCGTTCACTCTCCGATACCAAGGCGAGCAGCAAGAAGAATATAATTCGAGTTCCTCAAATCAAAACTGCAATGAACTATGAACTTATATTTACTAGGACGGCTACTTTCAAAAAAGAATAAAATAACAAATGTTGGTAAGAATAACAAGTAATAGGAACCTTTGTGCACTACTGGCAAAAACTGTGAAAGGGCGCAGCCTAAAAAATTAAAAATAGAATTACCATGATCCAGCTGCTGTGGTTTGAATCTGATTTGTTTCCTCCAAAACTCATAATCTGGTCTTGCAGGAGACTAACACGTTCCACTGGCTTGAACCTCCAGGGGTACACACATGGCTGCACCCTCAGGCAGCCTGAACTACTGAGTACAAACGAATCTAAGTCACTTTTTTTAGTCTTTTTACTAATAAAAAAGTGGTTCAAGTCATGAATGCACCCCTTGAACCACCGGTGGTTCAAGCTGCCAGGCAGCAAGACACCCGAATGTCAATGTCTTTCTCCAGAGAGTGGGTTAATTCTCGTAGGGTCAAGAACGGCTTGTTGTAAACCAACTCTACCCGCCTGCTTTCTCTCTTCAGTGCTGCTTTGCCCCTCCACCTTTTCCCCCTTAAGATGAGCAGCACAGAGGCCTTACAGAGGCTAGAGCTGAGTTCCAAGACTTCCCAGCCTCCAAAACTTTAAGACAAAGAAACAACTTTCCTTTGTAAATTACCCGCCTCAAGTGTTCTGTCACAGCACTATGAAACAGTCCAAGGCATGGGCAATCCCAATTGTGGGTATATACACTACAAATTTAAAGCAGGATCCTGAAGTGACATTCGTACAACCACATTGATCACAGCATTAAAGATGAAAGCAACTAAAATATCCATCAATTGATAAATGTATAAAGAAAAAATGGTAATACACATACAATGAAACATTGTTATCTTTTAAAACTGCCATTTGCTACAACATGGGTGAAACTCGAAGATGTTATACTAAGAAAAACAAGCTGATCCCAAAAGGACAAATACTCCATGACTCCATTAATGAAGTATCTGAAGTGGTCAGAATCACAAAAATTAAACACAGAAATCTGGCAGCCAAGGGCTGGAGGAAAAAAAACGAGGGGAAACTAATGTTTAATAAATATAAAGTCTAACTTCTGTAAGATGCCAAAGTTTTATAGATCTGCTGCAAAACAAATATGAATATACTTAACATTAATGAACTGTTTACCTATAAAAGGCTAAGATGATAAATTTAATTTTTTTTTTTAACTACACACACACACACCAAAAAAGATATATTGAAGTCCTAAAGAAAAAAAGTGATAGAGTGGAAACTAAAGTCTGTGACAGAAGCTGAATAAACAGCTGGGCGTGGGGGTGCACACCTATGATCCCAGAGCTTGGTAGGCTGAGGCAGGTGGATCCTGCAAGTTTGAGGCCAGCCTGAGCTACACAGTGAGACCTATAAAAGAACTGAATAGTACCATTAGTGTGGATCTGTAATCCAATTAATCTAACAGACTGGTTAGATTTTCTTCCTCTAGAAAACATCTGAGAGCTTGCCAAACATTTACAAAAACTATTACTAGTTTTTTTTGTGGTTTTTTTTTTTGTCTTTTTGAGACTCACTATGCTGTTCAGGTTGGCCTTGAGCTCACTTTGTAGCCCAGGCTGGTCCTGAACTCACATCGATCCTCCTGCCTCAGCCTCCTGAGTGCTGGGAGTATAGGTGTGTGTTTTTTTGAGACAGGGTCATGCTACGTAGTTCAGGCTGACCTGAACTCACATCTATCCCCCTGCCTCAGCCTCCCAAATGGTGGGATTACAGGTGTGTACCACACCATGCCTGGCCATCTGTTAGATCACAAAGAAAACTTAGTGAAAAACAACAAATGTCATTCTTAAAACTATAGTGGAGGCCAGGTGTGGTGGTGCATGCAGCTAGGCAGGAATGGAGTTCAGGCTGGCCTGGACTACACAATGAGCTCAAGGCCAGCTTGGACTGCACAGTGAGACCCACCTCAAAAGAGGGGAAAAAAGAAGACTATAGTTGGGCAAAACAGGAATTTCTAAAAACCAAACCCACTCCACAATCTTCCAAGAATACTAATCAGCTACGTCAAAATTTAAAATGTAATATCCTTTGACCTCCTAACAATGTACTTCTATCTACCAGTGTCTTGGCTACTTTTCTCTCACTGCTGAAATGAAATACCAAATGCCCAAAATTAGGGAAGGAAAGGTTTATTTAGCTCACGGTTTATGAAGGGTTCAGTCTGGCTGGCTCCACGGCAGAGTGGCCCATGACACAGGGCAAGAGTTCATGGCAGTGAAAGGAAAACAGCAAAAAACCCCACAAAAAAAACAGAAAACAAACAGAAAAAAATAACTCCCCCACAAAAAAAAGGAGCAAAAAGGGAAGAGTAGAAAGGGCAAGCCTCTTTCCCTCCCTTACAGTGTATGTGGCTTCCCACCTCAGGGCGGGTACAGCTCTCACACCCATAATCCCAGCACTGGACCAAGGACTAATCAAAACGCTAGAAGCCCACCTCATGAGTGCACGAGGCTTTTGGGGGACATCCAGACACAAGCCATGGCAACCATATTTTTTATGGAAATAATTCGGTAAGTACATAAAGGTACTTACAGATACCTGCATTTACTAATGTGAAAAGATAAGTGGGGCTGGGCATGCTATGGCGAGGCATGGTAGCCCACGCCTGTAATCCCAGCTTTCATTAGGCTGAGGCAGGAGGCTGTGCTGCAAGTGGAGGGCCAGCCT